CCGCGGCTACCTGTCGCCGTACTTCGTGACCGACCAGACGCTCATGGAGTGCGTGCTGGAGGACTGCTACATCCTGGTGTTCGAGAAGAAGATCTCCAGCATCAAGGACCTGGTCCCCTGCCTGGAGGCCGTGGTCAACAGCGGCAAGCCGCTCCTGATCATCGCCGAGGACGTCGACGGCGAGGCCCTGGCCACGCTGGTCATCAATAAGCTGCGGGGCACGTTCAACGTGGCCGCGGTGAAGGCGCCCGGCTTCGGCGACCGCCGCAAGGCCATGCTGGAGGACATCGCGGTCCTGACCGGCGGCCAGGCGATCTTCGAGGACCTCGGCATCAAGCTGGAGAGCGTCGGCCTGGCCGAGCTCGGCCGCGCCAAGAAGGTGATCATCGACAAGGACAACACCACGATCATCGAGGGCGCCGGCAAGAGCGGCGACATCAAGAGCCGCATCGACCAGATCCGCCGCGAGATCGACAACACCTCGAGCGACTACGACCGTGAGAAGCTCGAGGAGCGTCTGGCCAAGCTGTCGGGCGGCGTCGCTAAGGTGAACGTTGGCGCCGCGACCGAGAGCGAGATGAAGGAGAAGAAGGCCCGCGTCGAGGACGCCCTGCACGCCACCCGCGCCGCGGTGGAAGAAGGCATCCTGCCGGGCGGCGGCGTCGCCCTGGTCCGCACCTCGGCCAAGGTGAAGCCGTCGGGCCTGAGCCACGACCAGGAGGTCGGCTACAACATCGTGGTCCGCGCCTCGCGCGCCCCGCTGACCGCCATCGCCAACAACGCCGGCCAGGACGGCGGCATCGTGTGCGAGAAGGTTTCGCAGAGCAAGGGCAACGACGGCTACAACGCCGCGACCGACGAGTACGTCGACATGGTCAAGGCCGGCGTCATCGACCCGGTGAAGGTGACCCGCACCGCGCTGCAGAACGCGGCCAGCGTCGCCACCCTGCTGCTGACGTCCGACGCGCTGATCGCCGACGCCCCGAAGAAGGGCAAGGGCGGCGCGGGCGCCCCCGGCATGGACGACATGTATTGATAACGGGGTGAGGAGCCGGCGGTCGGGGATCATCAATCCCTGAGCAACGCTCCCCGCCAACCGCAACCCGCCCCGCGCTTCCCACTTGCCGCGGCGGATTCGATAGAGCCCCGGTCAGCCGAAAGGCTGGCCGGGGTTTTTCATTGCCCGTACCGCCCGCCGCATCTAGAGCCGCGGTGGACGTTAGCCGGCCAGGAACTCTAGCAAATCGTCCCTGAGCTGACGCTGGTGAGTGACCAGCAGGCCGTGCGGTGCGCCCTCGTACTCCTTGAGCGTGGCGTGGGGGATCCCCGCCGCCGCGGGGCGGCCGCTGCAGTCAATCGGCACGGTCTGGTCCTCGGTCCCATGCACGACAAGCGTCGGCGTGCTGAAGCACGTCAGCTCGCTCCGGAAGTCGGTGCTGCTGAACGCGACCACGCAATCGATGGTCGCCTTCAGGCCGCCCTGCATCGCCATCGACCGGGTCCATTCCAGGCACTCGTCGCTCACCGGGCGGTTGAGCATGCCCACGCCGTAGAAGTCCTTAAAGAATCCGCCGTAGAAGCCGGGGCGGTCCTCCTTGAGCCCAGAGGCGATCTCTTCAAACACCGACTGGGGCACGCCGCTGGGGTTGTCGTCGGTCTTAAGCATGTAGGGCACGATCGACGATACCAGAACGGCTTGCTTAACGCCGGCGCCGCCGTGGCGGCTCATGTACCGCGCAACCTCGCCGCCCCCCATCGAGAACCCCACCAGCGTGGCGTCCTCGGCGCCGGTCGCTTTGAGAACGTCCGCCAGGTCGTCAGCCAGGGTGTCGTACTCATAGCCCGACCACGGCTGCTCCGAGCGGCCAAAGCCGCGCCGGTCGTAGGCGATCACGCGGTAGCCGGCGTCGGCCAAGTCGAGCGCGTGAGGGTCCCAGGTGTCGGCGGTGAGTGGCCAGCCGTGGATCAGCACCACAGGCCGGCCGTCGCCCCAGACCTTGGCGTACAGCTTGGTGTTGTCGCGTGTGGGAATCAGCACGGGGACCTCCGTCGGTGGTTGGCAATGCGGCTCTTATGTTTGCGATTGCAAACCGTATGCCGGCGCCGACGCTGCTGCCGAAGATTCCCACCGTGGTCTGCTGGCGCCGCCTGCTGACAGAAAACTCGGCGGCGTTTCTAACACTAACTCCGACACCGAGTTGATGGATCATCTGGGCCGGCGGGGCCGACAAATGCGGAGCGTCGTCGCGGCCCGTGCTGTTCTCCGAAGGGGCACAGAGATGGTCAAGATGCTTAGAATCCGGAAGCCTAGCGGCTTCCATAGGGAATCTCGCGAAGCGCGTGAGCTGATGGCCGGCGACATGAGTGTCAATACGGACCGCGACTACGTGTTCTCTGCGGCACTGAGAGCACTGGCTTCATGAGCGTGAAGCCCAAGGGTGCCTCCCACCGAAGGCCGCCCGTCGTCATGCCTTCTCCAGTTCGCTCCCCAGCTTGAGCACGTTATTGCCGTCTTCGACGTGCACGTAGTAGGCCGGGTTCTCCTGTGAGCCGTCGCGGGTGACCTCCTGGCCATCGATCTTGCGGGTCACCCGCTTCTCGAACCGGCTCTGGACCTTCCCGTGCCCGTAGCCGTTCCCCCACTTCCACTTCACGGGATCACCTTCGCTATAGGAATTGCTCATGCCTGCTCTCGCTGGTTCGACTGACTTGTGTTGACGGAGGGCTGTTGAGCGGCGGGCGCCCGGGCGGAGTTCAGTAGCTCACCAGCCCATCGACCCCGGCCCGCCCTTGAACGGTCCGACAATGTCATCGGTGATCCACCCGCCGTAGAAACCGCCCGGCTGCGGGGTGACGAGCTGGTCGTCGACATAGCAGGCGTCCACCCGGCCTGGGTAGAACGCGACGCAGCCTGCTATCGCAGCGAATCGCTGCGAAGGGCGTGGGTAGCCCCAGGCCGCCTGTTCGGCCACCTGCTGGCCGACCCGAAGGTCGAAGTACGACGCACCGCCCTTCCACTCGCAGAACGAGCCGCCGCCCGCCGGCGTAAGGTGCTCGGCGAGTTGCGGCGACAGTGGGACGTAGAAGACCGGCGGATGACTGGTCTCGAGCACGCGGTGCGACTCGCACGTGTCGACAATCGTCACGCCTGCGAAGACTATCCGGATGCGGCGTCCGCACCGCTCGATCGCCGGCGGACGGGGGTAGTCCCACACCGACTCCTGGCCGGGCCCCGGTTTATCAGGACGAGGGCGCACTCTGCTACTCCTGGTGAGTTTCTAAAGTGCATCAGGCACTAGAAAGACCGTACAGGGATTCGCACCCCGCCGAACTCCACGCCCACAGACGCACCGGGCGGGAGCACCCGCAGCAATGCGCGGCTGCGAAGAAGCGACAACAGCAGCCGCGGCGGAGGCAAACGACGCGGCCTAAGCGTCAGCCTCGCGCCGTCTACTACGATCATGACCGGTCGCCCGTCGACGGTGGCCGACAGTTCGCCGGCCGCGGTCAGTTTGGGGCTGCCGACCCGTCGCTCGTGGACACGCTGATGCTGCCGTTGAGCACCCACTCGGCGTGCTTCGCCTCGGGCCCCACGCCCGACGGAACACTGAGGTGCATGTCCGCGAACTGATAGTTGATCTCGGCCTGCCGGCCGGTGAGACGATCGAACAGCCCGACCGCAAGATCCGGCCAGTTAGTGGTGTGCTGGGAGTCGCTCATGGGGACGCCTTTCATGAAAAAACAGGATGTGTGAACTCTGAAGCTACGGAACTCTAGACGCGACTCCCGCTCCGCCAACTGCGGCGACGCCATATTCCAGGACGCCAGCACGAAAGCGGCCTCGGCACACGTTGCTTTGCAAGAAGCGTGTGTTCCGCAACGCGTCCAGACCGCGTAGGATTCCCGCAGCGGCGACGCTCATCACCAATCTCATACCCAGCGGGCAAATCGCGATCGATGTCCGATGTTGCTGTCAACTTGGGCCACGCTCGGAGCAGGCGGCGTGGGGTGTCGCTGGTCGAGATGCTGGTGGTTGTCGCCATCATCGGGATGCTGGCGGCGTTGCTGCTGCCGGCGATCCAGGCCAGCCGCGAAGCGTCACGCCGCGGGCAGTGCCAGAACAACCTGCGGCAGATCGGCCTCGCCATCCAGGTCTACAACGACCACCACGGCCACTACCCTTCGGCCCGCGATCAGACCGGCGTGTACGGCGCGTCGTGGGCGTTCGAGTTGCTGCCCTACCTGGAGCAGCAGGCGCAGCACGACAGCTTCCTGCCCACCGTGCGCGTGGACGACGACCGCAACGCCGCGGCGATGCGGACGCCGGTCGCCCTGTACTTCTGCCCAACGCGGCGGCCACCGGCTGCCGACCGCGACTTCGACAACGGCGGCTCGCCCCCGCTGGTGCGCGGCGTCGCGGCGGGCGGTGACTACGCCGCTAACGCGGGCCTGCACCACAACTACAAGACGCCGCCCGAGCTGGGAGGCCCCGACCACCCGCTGGCGATGTCGATCACCGCCGGCCCGATCTACACCAAGTCGCGCGTCACGGACCGTCACGTCACCGACGGGCTCTCCAAGACGTTCGCCGTGGGGGAGCGGCACACCCCGATGGAGGACGTGGCCGACGGCGAGCCCGAGGTCCGTGACCTGCGGCTCGGCGACACCGCCTACTTCGCCGCGGACACGGCGGCCGCCATTCTTGGCGGGTCCCGCTGGGGCCTAGCAACGGGACCCCGGGACGCCAACGTGTTCAAGTTCGGCAGCGCCCACGCCGGGGTCACCTTCTTTGTGTTCCTCGACTGCCACACCGTAGCCGTGCCCAGCGACGTCGACCTAGCCATGCTGCAGGAGGGGTCGGTCATCGGCGACGGCGGGCAGGTCTCGACGGCCGAGTACCCCTGGTAGCCCAGGCGCGGACGCCCGCTGCGCGTATCGAAGAACCAGATGCGCGACTTCGCGTGGAACATCTCCGAAGGGACGATTAACTTGAATACTGCTGCGGAGCCCCGATGTGGCGCTGCAGCGTCTCCTCTTCTTAGGCGGGCTGACGACTACGCCACAGGTGTTCACCACTGTTTTTTGATGGAGCGTCTCATGAGATCGACATCGCTGTTGTGCCTCGCGGTTGGTTGCGCGGCTCTCGCCGCCACCTCTGCCCAGGCGGCCTTCCTAATCGAGATCGATACCGACGGCGCCGACGACGGCGTGCTGACGTACAACTCACACTTCACCTTCGGGGGCGACACCATGACCGCGTCGCAGTCCTCGGCGAGTTCGGCTTTCGGGCTGACCGGCGGCGACAGCATCTTCGGCGGCGACGGCGTCAACGACCCCGACACCTACGTCTACCGCTACGACCCGACGACGGACGCCGACAACCTAAATACGGCCGGCCAGGCGCTCGGCGTCAGGCTGGACGGCACGCCCGTGGCCGGGTCGGGGAATGTCGGCGGCGCGGCCGGCCCCTACCGCGTCTACGCCGCGTGGCCATTCACCACCAACGTCAATGCTGCGGGCGTCACCTACACCGCGGTTTCTGGGGCGAACAGCTTCTCGGTGCTGGTCGATCAGAACGACCCCGCGATTCAGGGCGGCTGGGTCTACCTCGGTGACATCGACTACGACGGCTCCAGCGGGATCATCCTGACCCAGGAGGCGGAGGTTAACAGCTTCGTCTCGATGCGGTCGGCGGCCGTGATGTTCGAGCCGGTCCCCGAACCCGCCGCGGTTCTGCTGACCTCGCTGGCGGCCGCGGCCGCACTGGCGCGGCGGCGTCAACGCTAGACACGCGCGAGCTTGGGCGCGTTCCGCCCGGGCTGGCTCCTCCCGCCGGCCCGGGCTCTTTTATGCGCGCTACTCGGCGCGGAAGACCCGCGCCGCGTCGCCACTCTCGTATTTCAGCAGCACCACGCCCCAGCAGCCGAACTGGAGCCGGTCGGACAGGGAAAGTGTCCGACGCACCGCGCGGAAGCCGAGCGGCTCGCAGAACCGCCGCCACCCTCGCCGCCGCGCCACCTCCATGAAGAGCGTCCCACGCTCAGCGGTTTCCAGTCGTTCAATAGCGCCAGCCACGAGACGCCGCCCGACGCCCCGGCCGCGGTGACTGGGCTCGACGCAGAGCGAGTGGATGAAGAGTGCTCCTTCCGGCGCGCCGATCAACGCCCGATTCCAGTCGCCGAGCAGCGTAAAGTAGACGCCGAGCTCGTGATTGGAAAACCGTTCTTCGATCGCGTCCCAATCGTGCTGAATGTCCTGCCACGCATCGGGGCCCAGGGCGACCGAAACCGAAGCCGCCCCGACGAGTCGCCCCTCGTCGTAGGCGCCCACCGCTAGCCGCGGTTCGCGCTGGGGGTCGATGACTTCGGATATCTCGAAGAAGTTGGGGAGCCGCTCCTGCAGGTAAGCGGTGAACACATCCGGGATGCGGTTGGAGAGTTCCTGCGCCGCGGCCACCTCACCGTCAAAGAGGGTTCGGATATCGATGCTGCTTGTGCCCACTGCCCGGCCCCGTTTACCTGCCCCGCCCCCATCTAGGCCCGCTTGGCCCATTCTCGCACACGCGGCAGGTTGCGGTACAGGATCCACGTGTAGACACGCCTGGGCAGCAGCCCGCGGAGCCAGGCGAAGGCGACCGCGTCGGCACTACCGTACACACGCAGAGGCGGGGAACGCGAGCGGAGCACGGCGGCCACCTTCCGCGCGACCGAATCGGGCGTGGCGAGCGCGCGATTCATGGCCTTGCCGATGAACGCCTCCATGTGGAAGTAGTGCTCGTGGTAGGGGTCCGCGCAGTCGCCGGACGCGCGGGCGCTCATGATCGTGTACGGCACCTTCTCGAACGCGTCGGAACGCATGAACCCGGGCTGGATCAGGGTGACCGATACGTTCCACGGCTTGAGCTCGTAGTAGAGCGCTTCGCTGGCGCCCTCCAGAGCGAACTTCGATGCCGAGTAGACGGACATCGTCGGCATGGCCATCATGCCGCCCACCGAAGAGATGTTGACGATCTTGCCGCGGCGCTTCGCCCGCATCCCCGGCAGGACCGCCCTGGCCAGCTCGATGGGAGAGCGGAAGTTGATGTTCATCTGGTGCAGCCGTTCCGGCTCGGTCACGTGCTCGACGCACGAACGGTACGCGACGCCCGCGTTGTTGATCAGCACGTCGACGCCGCCCAGGCGCCGGTTGATCTCGTCGACAACCGCCAGCCGCTGGTCCGCGTCGGTAACGTCGAGCGCGCGGATCCAGACGCCCTCCTCTTCCGAGACCCCGTTCTCCGCGAACCGCGGTAGCGACGACTCGCGCGCGGTGAGCACGAGCCTGTAGCCCCGCTCGTGGCGTTCGCTCAGCAGGCGGCGGGCGATAGCAAGGCCCAGGCCGACCGATGCGCCGGTGACGAGCACGACCTGCTCCTCCGGCTGACGCGGCTTGCGGGACGCAATCATCGCGAGATCCTCGCGTCTGCGTCGCTCGCCCGGCGTGGGACGCCGGCGTCGACACAGGGGGCCTCGCCTGCTGGTTAGGAACCGACGCCTCTCGCCTTGCGGTGGGCACTGAGCAACCTCCCGCAAGCCAACTGGGGTCCTATGCTATCGTCAAAGAGCCTCGCGCCAAAGCCTGCGGCCAAGTCCGCCGACTACTTTCCGGTTTGCCGCTACGCGCACGAGGCGGTGGCTGGTCGCCCTTGACGCCGCGGGCGCCATTCCGACAATGGCTTTCCAGTCGGACTGACCCGCTTTTTCTTTGCCCAGGACCCGCTCACGCCGCGACCCCCTGCGTGACATTCTCGCCCGCCGCCTGATTCTCTGGCGCGGCATCCCTGAGGCCTGCTCCCTACCGCAAGGACGTTTATGAGACCCCGCTGCGCGCTGTTCGCCGCCTTGATGCTGTTTGTGCTCTCCGCCGACTCCGCCCGTGCGGTGGTGATCGAGTGGACGCTTGGCCGCTTGTCCGCGTACCTGCAGGACGGCAGCAACCTCGCGCCGTCGGCGCCGTCATTCCACGAGGTCTTTGCCCAGTTCGCTTCGGACGACCCGTTCGAGTTCAGCGGGGTGGTGCTCGAGCACCCCACCGGCCCCGATGCCCCGCTCGACGCGATGCCGGGCGGCACGCGGTGGGACGTCAGCAGCGGGTACTTCTCAACCTCTCAGCTAGAAACCGCGTGGCCCGTGGGCGAGTATACCCTCGCGGCGACTTCCGGTTCGAGCACGATCCGGGAGTCCGTTGCCCTGCGCTCGCACGATGTTGACTCGGTCCCCTACTTCACCGGCTCGGTGTACGACGTCCTCAGGGGCCTCAACCCGTCGCGGCCAGTGACGCTGGAATGGAATGCGCCCGGCACGGAGGTCGACCGCGTTACCGTGCACATCGCCAGCCTGTCGGGCGGGCAGGCGCCGATCGCCGTCGACGCCACCGGCCAGACCAGCCTGCCGCTGCCGGCGGGGACGCTCGCGCCGAACACGGTCTATTCGCTCTCGATCGAATTCTCGTCCGAGCAGGCCGACCACCCCGACGCGTTCTCCTCCGGCGAAGGCAAGTCGGTCGTGAAGAACATCACGGAAATCGCGTTCACCACCGGCGAGGTTCCCGAGCCGAGCGGTCTGGTGGCGGGCGCACTGCTGGCCGTTGGATTGTCGGCACGCCGCCGCCGCGCCGCCTAGAAGGCGGCTTCGGTCTCCTCGCCCGCCATGGTCGACATCGCCCGGAGCACCTGGGCGTCGGCCTGCTCGCGCACTACCTGCACCGCGGCGTCACCCATTAGCACATGGCAGAAGTCGCCGTGCAGGCTGCCCGCAGAGGAGTGTGTGCCGAGCTGACCGACGCGCCGCTGGTCGCCGGCCGCGGGCCAGTCCCAGCTGTTTACGCCGTGGGCGTCTAGCGCGACGCCCTGCATCACCCACCCGCGGTACGCCCAGGCAGGCGCCGAGCCGTTGAACACGTCGAACAGCGTCTCGGCCATGGCGGCGGTGTGCGACAGCCCATCCCGAACACGCCGGTAGGAGGTGTCGCTGTTCTCGCCGAACATCCGCCGCTCCGACACCGGAGACAGGCGCCAGTGGTCGCAGATTGGTTCGCTCGCGACGACAAAGTCGTAGTTGGTCTTCACGCTCCGGTAGCGGCTGTCCCCCGCTCCGTACAAGCCTCCGGACGGCAGCAGGGGTTCGCCGCTGTCGTCCGGGCACCGCAGCAGGCTGATCGCCTGCGCCGCCACCGCTGCATTGCCGCTCACAACAGCGTTCCCGAGCAGCGGCGCCAACGCGGTTGTGGGCGAGCAGCAGCTGTTGTTCCCTTGCACTATCTGTGCGGCGGCCGCGGCGAAGTCGAACCGTTCGTAGAGCGCGGCCTCTTCTAGGTACGGCAGCAGGTGCACCAGACCGTTGTAGTTCCGGACGTGCGTTACCCGCCGCTGTTCTGGGAACCGGCACCAGCCGTAATCCTCGCCCGCGGGTGGCAGCCGGAGGTGGTCGGCGTGGTGGCCGTGCAGCGCCAGGCCGAGTTGCTTGAGGTTGTTCGCGCAGTGGGTCCGCCGCGCCGCGCCCCGCGCCGACTGAACCGCCGGGAGCAACACCGCGATCAGCACGCCGATCACGGCGATCACCACCAGCAACTCGACGATCGTAAACGCCCGTCGGACCTGGGGCGGCGGAGCAGCAGTCACGGTGCGGATCTCCTGGGTGCGGTAACCGGGACTCCCGGCTGCCTCCAGTATAGGTTGCGGCCGGCAGCACCAGACCGCCGCTCCGCATATTCAGCGCAACCGCACCTGCCTAAGGTCACTCGGCCGCTGCCGGCGGGTCCTCGACCGGGATCTGGATCTTCCCCAGGTGCACCAGCCGGGCCACCGCCCAGCAGCCCAGCGCCCAGGCGCCGCCGGCGGCCCAGCCGGCCAGCACGTCGGTCGGCCAGTGCACGCCCAAGTAGACGCGGCTGACGCCGATGGCGATGGTCAGGCCGATCGTCACAGCCAGCAGGAAGAACTTCAGCGCCCGGGGCCGCACCAGCTCGGCGAGCACCGCGCCCAGCGTCAGGTAGGTGCAGGCCGCGACCATCGCGTGCCCGCTGGGGAAGCTGCGGGTGTAGACGTACGACCCGTGGGGCGTAAGGTCGGGCCGCGGGCGATCAAACAGGGCCTTCATGCCGTAACTAAGGAGGAAGCCGCCGACCAGCGCCGCCAGCAGCAGCACCGCCTGCTGGCGCTTGTCGAGCACCCACAGGAATACCACCGCGATCACCGCCGTGAGCGTCACTACCGCCACGCCGCCCAGGGCGGTGACGTCGCGCACCATTTCTTCGAACCACTTGGGCCCTACCGGGTCGGAGAGGTCATCGGCGTTGCGGAGCGCGAGCACGAGCCGTTCGTCCATCTCGTGGGACTCGCCCTCGAGCACCTCGTCGGCGATCTCGCAGAACGCCCACACGCCGGCCGACGAGAGCGCGAGCGCGCCAATCAGAAAAGGCTCGCTCAACAGCTTCCGGCGGAGCTGAGTCAGGTTGACCATGGTTACCTGTAACTAGGAGGCGGCAGAGTCTCGGCGGGCGGAATCGGTTGCCGGCCGCCGACTCGGCCTTGCCACTGCAAGTCTTGCGCCGGCCAGAACGTGTCCCAAGGGCGGTGGGCGGCGTAGTATTGTACTGCGGCGGACCAATCGCGGATCGACACTCAGGAGGAACGTCATGAAGGATGTCGCGGAGTATCGTGATCTGAGCGGCGCCGGCTTGTCCATCGGGGGCTACCTGCTGGAACGCCTGCAGGACCACGGCGTCGGGCACGTGTTCGGCATACCGGGCGACTACGTGCTGTCGTTCTACACGATGCTGGAGGAGAGCCCCATCGAGGCGGTCGGCTGCACGCGGGAGGACTGCGCCGGGTTTGCTGCGGACGCGTACGCTCGGGTGCACGGCATGGGGGCGTTGTGCGTGACCTACTGTGTGGGCGGGCTGAGCGTGTGCAACTCGGTGGCCGGGGCTTACGCAGAGAAGTCGCCGGTGGTGATGATCACCGGCTCGCCCGGCCTCCGCGAGCGGATCCACAACCCGCTGCTGCACCACATGGTCCGCAACTGGCGCACGCAGTATGACGTGTTCGAGAAGCTGTGCGTGGCGGGCGCCGAGCTGAGCGACCCGCTGATCGCCTACCGAGAAATCGACCGCGTGCTGGCGGCGTGCAAGAGGTACAGCCGGCCGGTCTATTTGGAGATCCCGCGCGACATGGTGCACGTGGTGCCCAACGCCAGCCCGCCGTACTCGCTGCCCAACCCGCAGAGCGACCCCGAGGCGTTGGAAGAGGCCGCCGAGGAGACCGCCGCCCGGATCCGCGCCGCCAAGCAGCCGGTGCTGCTGCTGGGCGTCGAGATCCACCGCTTCGGTCTGCAAGACCTGGCGCTCCGGCTGGCGGAGTCGGCCGGCATACCGATCGCCGCCACTATGCTCGGCAAGGGAGTCGTCGCGGAGACGCACCCGCTCTACATGGGCCTGTACGAGGGCGCGCTGGGTCAGGCGGAGGTGACCAAGTACGTCGAGGGCAGCGACTGCGTGCTGATGCTCGGGACCTTCATGACCGACATCAACCTGGGAATCTACACGGCCAACCTCAGCCTGGGCGACTGCATCTACGCCACCAGCGAAGAGCTGCGCGTGCGTCGGCACCACTACCACGACGTCCGCCTTGAGGACTTCCTGAAGCGGTTGGTCGACAAGGCGCCCCGCCCGACCCAGACGCCCCCGCCGGCGCCGACCGAGTCGTCCGAGCGGGAGTTCACCCTGCAGCCGGACGAGCCGCTGTCGGTCACACGGCTGATCGAGCGGCTAGACGAGCAGCTGGCGGGCGACACGGTCGTGATCGCCGACATCGGCGATTCGCTGTTCGCGTCGACCGAGCTCACCACCCACGGCAGCACCGAGTTCATCAGCCCGGCCTACTACACCTCGATGGGCTTCGCCACGCCGGCGACGCTCGGCGCGTGTGTCGCGCGGCCGGAGGCGCGGGTCGTGGCCCTGGTGGGCGACGGCGCCTTCCAGATGACCGGCGCCGAGTTCAGCAGCCTCGCCCGACGGGGCGCCAAGGCGGTGGTGATCGTGCTGGACAACGGCGGCTACCACACCGAGCGGCTTCTGCACCCGGGCGACTACCGCTTCAACGACATCCAGCCGTGGTCCTACTCGAAGCTCCCCGAGCTGGTTGGGGGCGGCAAGGGGTACGAGGTGCGCACCGAGGGCGAGTTCGACGCTGCGCTCCGCGCCGCGTGGGCCGACGACTCCGGCCCCAGCCTGATCCACGCCCGCCTGACCGGCGAGCCGAGCCAGGCGTTGCGGAAGTTGGGCGAGCGGATGCAGAGAACGGTTGTGGGGAAATGAGATAGGGCGGCTCGCGCGAAACCGCTATGCTGTAGCCGGATCGGTGCTGGCCCCCTTTACAACTCTGCGTGAGGCGCCGCTGCTATGCCCGCTACCCGGCTTGTCGCGTTCGCAGGTCTGCTCATCACCGCGTCGGTCTGCAGCGGGTTGGGGTTCGAGGGCTTTGGCCCTCGCTCCAGCCACCCTACTCCCACGACGGTCCAACCCGGCTGGCCCGCGGGAATGGCGACGATCGTCGACCACGACTCACGCGTCTACCACCGTTGGGTGAACGGGAGCGAATCACACTACTTCCTCATGGCAGAGTCTGAGATTCCTGAGATGCTACGGGCGTTCTCGCGGCTTCGACTGCGTGACCACGTTGTGACGGTGAAGCCAGGGTTGCAAACCGCCAAGTCGTTCCACGGGCAGGAGACCACATACAACGTCGCCTACCACTACTGGGGCGGGATTGCCCGGCACATGCGGCAGCGAGAGCCGGACGCGGTCACGCATGAGCCGACGCTGACCATCTGCGTCGATCCCAAGGCGGACCGAAGCTGGTGGACCGAAGCTGGTGGACCGACGCCAAGCTGCCCGACAACCTCATCATCAACAGCGAGGTCGACTACTGGCCCGCCCACGGCGCCGCGGCGCCCAAGCGGCGGTTGTGGCACGCGCGGGTGCAGTTCCAGGACGGCGGTCCGGCCGCCGATTTTGAGAACCGCATCGCAACCCGCGTCCACTGGTGGGATCCGGCCGCCGGTTCCGGGATCTACCTCGGCCAAGTCGACTACCAGGGGAAGTTCCGCGTCGCGCTGTCAGACCGGGAGATCGCGCAGCTCAAGAGCGGCGTAAACTGGATCACGCTGACCGTTGGTGACCAAATGGCCGCTCCCCAGGCCAACCACCCACGGCTGCCGTTAGAATCCCTCTCACCGGACCCCGACGGGGCGCCGCCACGCCGAATTGATCGGCCGCGTGTCCTTTCCGGTCGAAAGGAACAGCACTCAAAGCGTCTGGATGCGCGGGTAGACTAGAGTTGAGAACGCCTGCCGCGGCTGCTATTCTGCTAGCCATCTAGTCTCCTTGTCGCCATCGCCGCCCCAGGCGCCAGCGGAATGCCGCACAACCGCTCCAGCTTTCGCGGATTCGCCTCAGCCGTTGCTCGCGCGACGCTGCTGCTGCTGTTCGTGGTGATGGCGAGCAGCCTGGCCGGCCCAACCAGTCAGCGGCTGGGCCGCTGCGAGTCGGCAGCCGACGTCGAGCTGTTAGAAGTCCAGACCATCGTTAGCGAGGGCGTCGGCCGGCGGCACTGCCGCTCCCAACGGGCGACCCTCCTCTTCTCGCCGGCGGTGTCGCACTCCCCGGCCACACTAACACGAGCGACCGGCGTAGGCGTGCCCGCTTCGGCCGAACACCGCCAACGCAATGGTGTTGGCGGTCCGCTGCGTTGCTAGCGTATTCGCGGTACGCGCCCGCTGCCACGCTTCCTCTGTTGCCCCCCACGCCCAGACCGATGGCCGGTCCTGGCGGGCTGCTCTCTGCGAAGGAGACCGCGTTCAATGAACGCCGCTACGTTCAAAAAAGACTTCATGGCGTCGATCGTCGTTTTCCTTGTGGCGCTGCCGCTGTGCATGGGCATCGCGATCGCGTCGGGCGTGCCGGTGGCGGCGGGCCTGATCACCGGCATCGTTGGCGGGATCGTGGTCGGCTTCCTGGCCGGCTGCCCGCTGCAGGTCAGCGGCCCGGCGGCGGGGCTGACGGTGATCATCCTGGACCTGGTCAACGAGTTCGGCCTTGAGACCCTGGGCATCGTTGTGCTGATGGCCGGCCTGATGCAGGCCGCGGCCGGCATGCTGCGGATGGGCCAGTGGTTCCGCGCGGTGTCGCCGGCGGTGGTGCGGGGCATGCTGGCGGGCATCGGCGTGCTGATCATCGGCAGCCAGTTCCACGTCATGGTGGACGACAAGCCCAAGGGCAACGGCATCGAGAACCTGATCACCATCCCGCAGGCCGTGCTCAAGTCGCTGACGCTGCCGGGTGTGCAGTCGCAGGAGTCGCGTGAGTTCCGCCGCGACATGCTGCAGGAGGTGGGCGAGATCCACCGCCGTCAGCAGGATCTCGAGGAGCTGGTGGCGGAGGTCTACCCGCACATCCACAACCCGGAGATCGAGTACACCGAGGAGGCCCGCGAGCAGGCCGAAGAGAGCATGCAGTCGTTCGTGGAGAAGCAGGAAGAGATCCAGCAGGACCTCGAAGCCGCCACGGCCAAGATGCAGGAGATGGACCAGCACTTCGCCACGCCGGAGCGGGCCTCTGACGCGGCGAGCGCCGCCCAGGCGGCGCTCGAGCAGAACCGCACCGCGCTGACGGCGTTCGAGTCGGGCGAGCCGACGGAAATCCTCGCGGAGCAGGACAAATCGGTGGCCGCCGTGCAGGGCCTGTTGGACCAGTTGAAGAACCACCACTTCGCCGCGCAGGTCGGCGTGCTGTCGATCCTGGCGATCGTTATCTGGCAGTTCGTCCCCAAGACGCTGAGAGTCATCCCCGGCCCGCTGGTGGCCGTGTGCGTCGCGACCGTCGTGGCGAGCGTGTTCGCGCTGCCGGTGCTGTACGTGGAGATCCCGGACAACCTGTGGGAGGGCGTGCACCTGCCATCGCTCGCGGTGATCCAGGAGTCGGGCCTGGGCGCCCTGATCCCGGCGGCGATCCTGGTGGCCGTGGTGGCCAGCGCCGAGACGCTGCTGTGCGCTACCGCGGTGGACCAGCTGCACACCGGCAGCCGCACCAACTACGACCGCGAGCTGTTCGCCCAGGGCGTCGGCAACACGGTGTGCGGCGTGCTGGGCGTGCTGCCAATGACGGGCGTGATCGTCCGCAGCTCGGCCAACGTTCACGCCGGCGGCCAGACCCGCGCCTCGGCCATCATGCACGGTGTGTGGCTGCTGCTGTTCGTGTCGGTGTTCGGCTTCCTGCTGCGGCAGATCCCGACCGCGTGCCTGGCGGCGATCCTGGTCTACACCGGCTTCAAGCTGGTGAACATCAAGGACATCCGCAAGCTGGCGATCTACGGAAGGAGCGAGGTGTTCATCTACTTCGCCACGGTCGTGACCATCGTCGCGACCGACCTGCTGACCGGCGTGCTGGTCGGCATCGCGCTGGCCGCCGCCAAGCTGCTCTACACCTTCAGCCACCTCGAGACGCGCCTCGACACCGCGGTGGACGGCAAGTGCCGGCTGCACCTCAACGGCGCGGCCACCTTCGTCCGGCTGCCGATCCTGGCGTCCGAGCTCGAACGCGTCCCCGACGGCTGCGAGCTGCATGTCGACTTCCAGGAGCTGCAGTACATTGACCACGCGTGCCTGGAACTGATGATGAACTGGGCCAAGCAGCACGAGAAGGCCGGCGGCAAGCTGGTGATCGACTGGGAGTCGCTGCACGGCCGCTTCCAGGCCGGCGGCAAGTCCAACGGCGCGGCGCGTCAGGCGTCATAGGCATCGCTGGACGAGAGAGCGGCCCCGCCCGATCGAGAAGCGGTGCGCTACCGCAGGCACGCCCCGACACTTGGGACCGCGGCCTGTCACCGGTCGCGCGGCGCTGTGCCCGTAGCCTGAGCGCTTCCAGCGGCCGGGGGTTTCGATTAGGCTGGACGCCCTCGTCCGACCCCCTGCTCTGCTGGATCCCTTCATGGCTCAACGCAACGCCCGCATCGGGCTGAGGCTGTTCTTGGTCTACCTGGCGTTCTACGGCGGCTTCGTGCTGCTGGCGGCCTTCAAGCCCGACGCCATGGAGGCGACCCCCGCGGCCGGCGTGAACCTGGCGATCTGGTACGGCTTCGCGTTGATCATCGCCGCGTTCGTGCTGGCGATGCTCTACGGCTGGCTGTGCCGCGAGCCCCAGAACGCCGGCGACGCGGGGGACCAACGATGAACCTACTCGACCCGGCTGTTTGGATCTTCCTGGCGTTTGTCGGCCTGACGCTGGGGCTCAGCTTCTACCTGGGACGCCAGGCCACCAGCTCGCAGGGCTACTTCGCGGCGCACGGGCAGATCCCGTGGTTCGTCAACGGCGTGGCGTTCGCCGGCGACTACCTGTCGGCGGCGTCGTTCCTGGGCATCTGCGGCATGATTGCCTTCTACGGGTACGACGGGTTCCTTTACTCGATCGGCTACCTGGCGGGCTGGATCGTGGCGCTGTTTGTCGTTGCCGAGCCGATGAAGCGGCTCGGCAAGTTCACCTTCGCCGACGCGCTCAACCACCGCTTCGACTCGCCGGGCATCAAGCTGGCCGCGGGCGTCAGCACGCTGGCGGTCAGCGTGTTCTACCTGATCCCGCAGATGGTCGGCGCGGGCGCGCTGGTCACGCCGCTGCTCAACTGGCCGCACTGGCTGGGCGTCTGCGTGGTGGGCGCGGTGGTGATCCTGATCGTCGTGACCGCCGGCATGGTGTCGACCACCTGGGTGCAGTTCCTCAAGGGATCGCTGCTGGTGATATTCAGCGCGGTGCTGGCTGTGCTGATCCTCGGCCGCGGCTTCACCGCCACCGACCGTCCGATCGAGCAGCAGGTGATCGTCCGCTCCAGCTCGGGCGTGACAGTAAACGGACAGCCGGCCGACGAGGCGCAGGCAGCCGCGGCCGAGCGTCCCATCGGCGAGGTGGTCTCGCTGCCGGGCGGCGAGGCCAAGACCGGCGCCGTGGGGCCGCTGCAGTTCTTCAGCACGCTGCAGGAAAGCGAAGTGGTGCTGTGGAAGAAGAATGAAGATGCCGACCCCGCCGGCGCCGTCACCACCACCTACACGCCCGACGTCAAACCCGGCGCACACGTGCTGCGGCCGGGCGAGCACCCCAACTTTAAGGGGATCCGCAGCGGCGACGCCATCGACAAGGTCAATTTCCTGTCGCTGATGCTGGCGCTGTTCTGCGGCACGGCGTCGCTGCCGCACATCCTGATCCGCTACTACACCGTCAAGGACGAGGCCGCCGCCCGCAAGAGCACGATCGTTGGGATCGCGTGCATCGGCTTCTTCTACGTGCTGACGCTGTACCTGGGCCTGGGCGCGATGACCAGCGGGCAGATCTTCAGCTTCAACTCCAACATGGCCGCGCCGCTTTTGGCCAAAACGATCAGCGAGCCGCTGTTCGCCGTTATCTCCGCCATTGCGTTCACCACGGTGCTGGGCACGGTAAGCGGGCTGATCCTGGCGTCGGCCGGCGCCGTGGCCCACGACCTTGTCGAGACCCTCGCCGCTGAAGAGCTGACCGACCACCAGCGGGTGCGGATCGCCAAGATCGCGTCGGTCGCCGTCGGCGCGATCGCCATCGTGCTGGGGATTGTGTTCAAGGAGATGAACGTCAGCTACCTGGTTGGTTGGGCGTTCAGCGTCGCGGCGTCGGCCAACCTGCCCGCGCTGGTGATGCTGCTGTTCTGGCAGCGGACCACGAAGCAGGGCGTGATCGCCGCGGTAATCATGGGCATGGTCAGCTCGCTGACCTGGATCCTGCTGAGCCAGGACACGTTCACCAAGGTGTACGGCCTGTCGGAGGGCTGGCTCACCCCGTTCAGCCAGCCTGGCATCGTGACTATCCCGCTCGGGTTCCTGACGCTAATCGTCGTGTCGCTGATGACCCCGCGGCACGAGGACGCTCAGGCGGCCTAGTTCTGTAGCTGGGGGCATCTTCATGGTGAAACCGGCCCTTGCTGTCGCGTGCCTTGCGCTCTTCGTCGCGCCGCTGGTCCATCACATGACATTCGAGCGTCGTGTGGAGGATGCCGAGCAGCCGGCGGAATTGGTTCTCGCGGTCGTGGGGATCGGCGGTGGTTTCACGTTTGGCGTGGTCGCGATTGTTCTCTTGGCCGTGCTCTGCGACGGCGGGCCCAACTTCCGACCTGTGTGGCTCTTGCTGTGGATGGCCGCTGCCGGTGCTGCATGGTGCTTCTTCTACCCCGGGGGATGGGTCCTGGGTATCCCAACGATGGTCTACTCGGGCGAGAAGCTCTGCCGCGCCGCCATGGCGCGTTGAAGCCGTTAGGCGCAACCCCACGAAGGCCAAGCGACACCCCACGGCACGGTTGCTACAATCCACGGCGGTCTCCTTCCCGCCTGTACGCGCCCTCCCCTATGCAGCAGATCATTGAGCTCCTGGCAGTCGTGTTCAGCGCGCTCTACGGCGTGCTGCTCGCACGGCGGCTGAAGCTGGACTTCGTCGGCGTGTACAGCCTGGCGTTTATCGTGGCGTTCGGCGGCGGCACGCTCCGCGACCTGTTCCTCGACCGCCACCCGCTGTTCTGGATCGGGGCGCCGCACTACCCGGTGATTGTGTTCGGGATGTCGATCGTCGCGTTCTTCCTGCCCCCGCTGTCGGAACACACCGAGCGGAGCCTCAACATCCCCGACGCGCTCGGCTTCAGCTTCTTCAGCGTGTCCGGCGCGGCGGCGGCGCTCGCCGAGGGCGCGCCGGTGTTCATCGCCGCGATGATGGGCGCGGTGACCGGCACGTTCGGCGGCGTCATCGCCGACACCCTCTGCAACCGCATCCCCAGCCTGTTCCGCCCGTCGACGCCGCTCTACGCGACCTGCTCGTTCGTCGGGGCGTTGCTGTACATCGCGCTCAAGGAGCTGCCGGCGATCAAGCCGGTCGCGGCGCCGATCGCCGTGGCGTTCATCTTCCTGTTCCGCCTGGCCGCGCTCCGCTTCGACTGGCGGCTGCCGGCCTACTCCGACGGGTCCACCGACGCGCCGGAAGACGACCTAACTGCCTAGGCGGCTGCCGCCGGCTCGTCGCTGACGCCCATCCGCCGCTTACTCGGGCTGCCGATTACGACTAGTCGACCAGCTCAATCTCGGTCGGGCGCCAGCTCTTGTCGAAGAACGGCTGCAGTGGACTGTAGAGCCGCAGAATAGTGAACCAGCCCTTCTCTGGGTCGGTCTGAATCCAGTTGCCGCGGTCAACGCCCTCGGGCTGTTCGGGGCCGAAATAGACGGTGGTCGAGCCGTCGGGGTTGGCCTTCGCGGCGGGCGAGGGGTAGCCCTGGCTGCCGGCGCGGGGGAACCGCTGCGGCGTGGCCAGCATCGAGCGGGTCTGCATGTCGTACAGCGTGAAGGACCAGAACTTCTCGGCGGGGACGTCCTTGGGCAGCGTGACCTTGTAGGTCTTGGCGCCATCGAAGAAGTTCTTGTCCGCGTCCATGGTCGCCATCAGGTACTGCGACCCGACGCCGGTCAGGCGCATCGCCATCGCCGGAGTGATGCCGGTGACGGCGTAGAAGAAGGCCGACCGCGCGTCCATCGTCCGGTAGCCGGTGGGCGGGTGCAGCTTGATCCCCTCCTTGGTGACCTGGGGGATCGGGGTCTCGAACTGGTAGCCGGTCACGAACAGCCAGTTGTACCAGGAGGAGCCCTCGTAGTAGTACCAGTCCTTGTGCCGCGGCTTCATGAACATCGTCCGCGAGCTGGCATTGGCCAACGTGACGGCCCCCTGCATGATCCGCTTCATCCGCGCGTCCGGCTTGAAGGGCTGCCCCTTCTTGATGCCGATCGCGGCGACCGGGCCCATCAGCTCGGCGTCGAGCGACGTAGCCGGCTCGCTCTGCACGACCTCGTTGAGCAGCTCAAAGTATCCCCAGTCGGTCGGCGGGACCGTGTTCATCACCTTGCCGCTGCCCTCGTGGAACACGGTGGCCGGCGGAGCCTTCACGGGCGCCAATGGCGCCTTGCCCGCCAGGAAGTCGGCGAGCGGCGTGCCCAGCCCGCCTGGCGTGTAGGGATAGACCTTCAGCGTCTTGCGGATCGTCTCGACGACCGGCTTGGGGTCCTTGCCATCCTGCAGGTACGACCGCCCGAACCAGAGGACCGTGTTCGTCTTGGCGTGCGCGACGTTGAACGTGCCGTCGGGCAGCGTCCCGTCGTAGCCTGGCGGCACAATCAGGTACTTGCCGCCCTCACCGCGATCGGGCCCAGGCAGGCCGAGGTCGATCACCCACCCGAACCAGGCGTCCTGCACAGTGCCCAAGAACGCGGGAGGCGACTCGATGACCATCGGGCCTTGGGTCAGGTCCAACGCTCCCATCGCGTAGATGGTGTCGCAATTCGCCGTTAGGAACAGCGAATTGCTGTCCATGAGCTCGGAGAAGATAAGCACCTCGCCGTCCTTCACACCGGCGTCCTGCAGCCCCTTGTGCAGAGCGGCGATGCTCACGCCTCGCATGTTGTCCATAACGGCGCGGTACGCGTAAGTGAAGTCTGCCAGATCGTAGGCCTTGGCGGCGGTCGCCTCGTTCGGCGCGCCGGCGGGGAATTCGAAGGGGCCGAGCGCGGTGTCGACTAGTTCGGGTGTGGTGATCGACTCCGGGACCTCGGGGTCCGCATTTGCCGCGGCGACCGCCGACAGGGTCACGACAATCGCCGGTAGAAGGAAACGCGTAGTGCGGGCGCGGGGGGGCATGGGGGGTGTCCCTTGATGAGGCTCAGGTGGAGGTAGAAAGCGCATAACGCATGCGAAGTATAGCCCGCGGTTCGGGGCCCCGCTATCAATCCGAGTCCACGCTTCAAGCAACCGTGCGATTGCACACAGAGGTCTCTCAACGCCACACCGTCGCACTCAGTAGCGTGATTGCGGTTGTGAAGTTTTGAGGAAGTCTTCCTGGCCCCGCCGGCGGCGGCACAGACCGCTGGCAAACCTTAACGCCCGTGCGGGAATTCCGGGAGAACCCTCCCGCACGACCCGAACTATCCAGTGCGGGCTCGGAACCCCTACGCCCGGACCAACCCCCACCGGCGAGCGGCTAGCATGCGAAAGACCTTCTGCCTGTGCACGGCGCTCGCCTGGGCCTGCTTCGCTCAGGCCGCGGGTGCGCAGTCGTTCGGGGTTGAGCTGCACGGCACGGTCACCCCCGCCGCGGGCGGTATGGGCGGGGTGAGCATCGCCCAGCCCCAGGATGTGCAGTCCACGCTGACCGGCAACCCCGCCACGCTCTCGCGTTTCCGCGGGACCCAGTTCAGCGTTGGCGCCGGCTGGGCCGAGCCGACCATCAACCTCGACAACGACGCCACGCTGCCGCTGGCGGGCGTGTCGCCGTTCGACGCCAAGTCGAGTCAGCCCGGCAGCTCGCTCGTCAACATCGCCGTGTCGCAGGACTTCACGGCGTTCGACCTGCCCGCCACCGTCGGGTTGGGCCTGCTCACCGGCGCCGGGCTCGGTGTGAACTATCTCGACGCGAGCGGCAGCAACGGCTCGGCCGCCAGCCTGCTGGTGCTCAACGTCCCGCTGGGCGTAGGCGTTCAGGTCACCGACCGCCTGGCGGCCGGCGCCCAGATGGCCGTGTCGACCAGCGTGCTGGACGGCCCGTTCTCGGGGCTCGGCGCCGCGACGACCGCCTACGGACTGCGTGGCAACCTGGGCCTCACCTACGACGCCACCGACTGCACCACGCTCGGGTTCTACTGGATGACCAAGCAGAGCTTCCGGTACGAGGACGCCGTGCGACTGAGCCTCGGCGGCGGCGCGTTCTCCACCGTGCAGGATGTGCAGCTCGACCTGCCAGAGACCTTCGGCTGGGGCGTGTCGAACAACCGCCTGATGGACGGCCGGCTGCTGCTGGCCAGCGACATCCTTTACAAGCGGTACTCGGAGTGCGACTTCTTCCGCGCGATCTGGGACGACCAGTTCGTGTTCCAGTCGGGCCTGCAGTACTCGGTGCGGCCCAACCTGAAGCTGCGACTGGGGTACGCGTACGCCGAGAACAACATGCGTGACGCGGCGGCGGCGGCTGTCGGCGGCGTGATCCCTCCGGACGGGCTGCCGGCGGTTCAGTTCATCCAGGCGCAGTTCCCCTCGATCAACCCGCACCGCATCTCCGGCGGCGTCGGCGTCCGCGACCTGCTGCCGGGCGTCGACCTGGACCTGAACGCCGGAGGCATGTTCCGGGCCGCCGACACATTCGGCCTCTCCAGTGCGGACGCCGAGTCGTACTGGATCGCGCTCGGCGTGACCTGGCGGTTCGAGCGTGGCTCCTGCCGGCGGCTGCCGGCGCCCGACCGCTGGTAGGCGGGCGGTCCTCGTCACCCCGTCAAGCGGCGCCAAGCGGCTACGGGTCGCGATCGCCCGCACGCTCTTCGCCCGGTGGCACGGCGGCGGCCGGCTCGCTGGTGTAGGCGCCAACCAGCCGCGAGATAAAGATCGCCAAGTAGAACATCCCCACGAGCGCCTCGGCGAGCGTCAGCACCCGGGCGATGTTTGAGGCCGGCACGATGTCGCCAAAGCTGTTGGCCGTGATCACCTGCAGGCTGAAGTAGACGGCCAGGAACCCGTCGAGCCTGGCGCCCTCGCCCGCGGTAGTGGGCAGCTGAAACGCGTGGGGGTCCCACTTGCCGAGCAGCGTGTAGAACATGCTCCAGATAATCGCGGTCAGCAGAAGCACCGAGATGGCCGCGCAGAGCACCTCGGCATTCACCTGGGGCGCAACGATGACGA